AGCGCAAGGTGGATGTGAGGCAGCAACCGTTCATGCAGTTAACCTAATCACTTCAAGTTTGGTGCGAAAACGTATGATCGCGCCTGCAAGCTTGGTGCGTCCGAGCCTGGGTTTCTTTAGGATTAAGCCTACTGAAGCAAAGAGATTAGACACAATACCTCTATGTATTTTTGTGCGCTTGGTTCGTTTTCTTTTGTAACATCTGTTAAGCAGTCTGGATTAATGCAGCAGAGTGGTATTTACTGATGCTAGCACACCAAGAGCACCTCGTAGCGGGTAAAGACTTGCTAAATATTTCTTTCGGCAGAATCGTTAAACTAATAATTCCTTCAGAAGACAAAACGAAGAAAGTTTAAGCAGTAGGCAATACAGCATCGAAGTAAACAACTGGAAAAGTTGTCAGCCACATAACTGAAGAATCGACTTACAGCTGATCCATTTCAAGCACAGGTCTTAAGCTGTTTTTTTTTTTGATGTGTATAAAAACTTTCAGATACGTGTTCATTGCATTCTGCTACAGTTGCTGCTGGTGCTCTAGTTGTTTTCCTGAGATTTTTGTTGGATGGTGGCCCATGGTCCGAATATCATTTGGCTGATCAGCCAGTTGTCATACACAGTATTGCTGCGGAAGACAAATTTCGACAGTATCGTTACGGTGCTTGGATGCGCGACTCACTTGTCTCGTCGATACAGCACAGTCGTCCACCACACATAGGCTGGTCGTTGGATTTGTTGGCTTACCTCTTACTTCTTTGTATTATTCTCATTGGCTCGATTGTTATGCATTTATGTTACAAGCCTCGAGTGAAGCAGTTTTATCACTTCTCCTACAAAAAACTTTAATGTTAGTTTAGCTGATTAATTAAAACAAAAAAAAAAAAAAGGAGGATATGCTGGTAGACGAAGAGGATGATGAGAAAGCCAGCCTATTGCTTGTCAGAGTCTTTTTTAACTTTTAATAACAATTTATTAATAAGAGAAGTTTGAACTCGCTGCTACCCTCGAAATAGATTAGCTTTTTGCTTGTATGTTCGTCTATTTTATTTTTATTTTTGAATCTAAGAGATGCAGTGCAGTTGTTGGACTTTTTAACACTGGTGCTGCAATTATTGAGTGTTCTGAAATCACGATTCTAGCTTTTAATTTGGGAAAATTAAGCTCTTGGTTGGGGGTCAGCGAGTAAGTAATCTAAGAACAACTAAGCTTCCGGCAGAATTGGATGCCTTTTTTTTAGAATTGGTCTTATTATATTGAGGCCGGGATGATTTTGCTTTGGGGTGAGGCGAGGAGGGGAGGGAGAAGGGTGGGGATATTGATAGTAGTTGTGTGTACCGTCCAGAGTTATTTTTTTTTTTTTTAGTTTTGCTGCTTGTAAAAGAAGTAAGAATTTTTTTATTCTGTCAGATTAATGAGCGGTATTTGTTACACGATCTGGATAAGGGCAGAATCGCAACGCAGCTGTACTTGAGTTTACTCTTGTTCCTTGTTCCATTCCACGCTTTTTCTCCCATCTTGCTTATTCAGAACTCTGCCTCTGCTTTTTTCTCATCAAAGGAGTGCAAATATCCTCAGTTACAGGCCAGCGAGAGCAAAAATTTTATTATTTCCCCTGCAAAATCTTTTGCATTAGCAATGTTAATGCTTACGTCGCCTAGTCGCATCTCTTTTACATGTTTTTCTAAAAACTTAACAATATACTAATGAGAAAATCTTCGACATTAATTTGAATTATTTTTTCTTTTTCAAATTTCTCCATTTTTCGAATATCTTATAACAGTTTATTATTTAGAGGATTAACTTAAAGGTACGAGCTCATGCAAGGAACTCCTTTTGCACAGTATGACGTTTTTAGCTGATAAATTAGAATAACGCATAGTAAATAGAAAGCGTATCTAGCATTATATTTCTGAGTGGAAAATTGAAGAGAAAAGGCTGTGATTGCATGCGTATTCATGGGCGTAGTCTCACATAAAAGAGTAAATGCTTGAAAGCTGATAAGACCGACTTGGACTCACACATGTTGAATCGCAAAAGATTTATCATTCTCAAATTTGGATGGTCAGTTTTCAGATTTTTACTGCGAAAAGATGGGTGAATGACCAGGGAGCAGCGCGCAGGTTGTAAGCTAGTGCCATTCTCTGGAATAATCTTTTTTAGATTTTGCAAAGAGTATATTTTCAACATGCAGTGTGCCCCTCAAGATCCACGAAAAAATCAGACTACAGGTAACATGTCAACAATGCTCGTGTAACGGCAACTGATACAAGTAAACACCCAGCATTGCTCGTGTAATGCTCGAGTAACGCACAATTCCCAACGG